TGTAATTGTGAAATTCTCCTGATCAAAATAAGACCAAACACGGCATAATTTGAACAACATTTGTTTATGTAGTAATATTGTTTGTTTTTTCGAGTGTATGGAGGCGCGATTTTGTATGGAACCAAAAGACTATTACTCGTCAGACTTCTCTAAAAATTTAATTTTAAACAGCCTCACTCGTTCGCTCTCTGTCCTTTCCTACGTTTAGCGGTCGACGCGAGTCAAATGTAAACAAGGAATCGACACCTCGACTCGATAACTGCAACGCTTGCTCCCGATTTTGTTGAATAAAAAATTAAAGAAGGAATACTCAGGCCCCAATAAAATTACAAGAACCATAGAAGAAAACAACGTAGAATTGCAAGTGGGTGACAAGAACGAGTCCACAAGAACAAAAAGAGGATGTTCATAAGGATCGGATCAAACAGATCCACAATAACAAAAGAAGGATGTTCATACGGGTCGGATCGAACGAACCTACAAGAACAAAAGGAGGATGTCCATAAGGATCGGATCAAACGGATCCATCTACCAATAGGAGACCAAGAAACAATTATAAAATGAACTATTGCAAGTATAACATGTAGTGGCAGAGCTAACTAAACAAATAGGAAAATAAAGAAAAATAAGTAGCAAAGACAAAAAAGTAAAAAATATTTTGGACGAAATGTGCGTACTAGATAGAGGGTATGCATTTTTTAACACGTTGAGCGCGGCGCCAATATTTCTGATCTTTCCGCTCTGCCGGCAGCGAGTGGGCGCTCCTCTAATGGTGCGATAATGTAAGATGATCCGCGACTTTTAAACATACGATTTCAAGCTCTGCGTAGCGTTTGTGTTTTGTTACCCTGTCGGTTTCGGCTCACTTTTGAAGTCACGTTCAAGATAAAGAACAGTTCCGTTCTTTCTCTTTGAGTGAAACAATGGAAGAGCAAATGCATGCGTACCTCCAAGAAGCTTTCAGTTGCAAGAAAGTCACACAAGTGTACAGATCGTTTGAGAGTAAAAAATTTTGTTTGTTCTTGAGAATATTTATCGCCCATAAAACCGAAAATGTTCGAAAGAGAAGACAGTGATACATCAAGCGAAGTTTTCTTATCATTCAGACGTCGCCGGGTATTACGGTTATCGTCATCAGAAGATGATACTTCAGTAGACGATGAAGCGGAACTTGAGAGAAGAAGTAGGAGAAGAAGCAGAGGTGCTGATAACATCTGTGACGGAACTGAATGGTTTGATCCAAAAGGGAATCAACCAAATATTGTTCCCTTTACGCGTACCTCCGGCGCCAAAACAACTAACGAAAAAGTGCGGATTTGTACAAAAGCAGGAGAGTTTTATGCACTTTTCGTTACAGACGAAATATTTCAGCACATCAGTGAACAAACAAACCACTATGCTACTCAATGCAGAATCATTTCTAAACGTACAACTAATTGGACACCAACTAACAAAAATGAGCTGAAGCGTTTATTTGGGCTGCTAATATGGATGGGTATGGTAAACCTTCCCTCCTTACGTCTATATTGGTCTCAAGATCCATTATTTTCACAAACATTCCCACGAACAATAATGAGTAGAGACAGATTTGAAATTCTAATGAGAATGGTGCATTTCGCTGACAACGAAGCAGCTGTCGCAAATAACCGATTATCAAAAATTCAATTCATCATAGACGAATTGAATACAAATTTTCAAAAATATTACGATCCACCAGAATTATTATGTATTGACGAATCGCTAATTCCATTTCGTGGGCGCATTGTATTCAGGCAGTATTTGAAACAGAAAAAACACAAATACGGTATAAAAATATTTAAATTATGTTGTAGTCATGGATACACTTATAACTGTCATGTGTACACCGGAAAAGCTCTCGATAGGGAAAACACAACCCCGTCAAATGTTGTAATGTCTCTATTGAAAAACTTATTTCATAGAGGCCACACATTGTGTACTGACAACTGGTACACCAGTATCGATTTAGCGAATCGCCTAATAGAAAAAAACACACATTTGATTGGAACACTGCGAACAAATCGTAGGGGAAACCCAAGTGAAGTGATAAAAACTAATTTGAAACGTGGACAAGTTATAGCTAAAGAAAATAATCAAGGTATTACAGTGTTGAAATGGAAGGACAAGAGAGATGTTTTGGTCCTGTCCACAAAACATTCAAACGAAATGATAAACGTAAAAACAAAACGCGGATTTTGCTGTAAACCCAAAATTATAGTTGAATATAATAAAGCAAAAACATCAATTGATTTGTCAGATCAAATGAGTGCGTATAGCAGTCCCTTGAGGAGAACTCTCAAATGGTATAAAAAGTTAGCCTTTGAGTTATGTTTGAACACTGCTGTGGTCAATTCGCTGTTCGTCTTTCAAGAAGTAACAGGACAAAAAATATCAATTACGGAATTTCGGAGACAACTGGTGAATGAACTGACACAGCGAGAAGATGAACAAATTCCGCGTCCCGCAGAAAAAATTCTTCATAAATTGCAGAAAAAGGAAGGAGACGTCCATAAAGTTCGGAAATATTGTTCTGGTTGTTATGCTGAAAATTCAAGATTATTTGGGCCCAAGATAGCAAAAAATTTAACAAAAAAGGTTGTTACATTTTGTTACATGTGTAAATCCCAGCCATACTTTTGCTTAGAATGTTTTAATAAAGCTCATTAAAACTATATTTGACTACATTTCATTCAGGCGACATTTATCTTTTAACTTTAATACTGCCGGTCCCACCGGACCGATATCGGCCTAACGAAAAGTCTAACGCCGGTCCCTGGGGACCGGCGCCGCGCTCAACGTGTTAAAAGAGTAACTGTTCTGAGGAAACAATTCAATTAGATTCAAACAAATTTTGGAACTTGAATTAATAAAAGAATATTGTTCTGTCATCAGCGCAATTTCCGTAGTCGACTACACCGCGTTAGATATCAGATAAAATTGTTAATCTGTCTAACTTTACGAAAGCGTATCTAGAAACACTTACAAGGGAACATATCCAACTCTGACACGCCAATTTTGATGAAACTTATGTAAGATATACATCTCAAAAAAATATTTGACACGTATTTTTTTTATCGGCAATCGTGTATATTGAAGGGGTGAAAATAGCCCTCGAAGTTGGGGGTGGAAATCATATTTTTGGGAATATCTCCGAAATTAAAGAAGATAATTGGGTTCTTCGTTTTGTAAATTGTTGGTCTTTTAATAGGGAATTTTTGTACGAAAAAAATTTCAATAAACCTTATTTGTATAATAATATTTTGAAAATTTACAATTTTTGTTTAAATTTTTGCACTAAATGTTGATTTATTTTTTTGCAACTCCGTATACGTAAACTATAGACAAAAATAGGGGATACGTATTTTTGGAATTTGTTGTTTGTTGCGATGTTTATTAGATATATAATTTAAAACCACCTGCTGTGAAGAGGGGCAATCAGTATTTTTATTAAAAATATCATTATTTTTACAATCTTTTACATTATTTTAGCAATTTTATACCTCTTCATATGCAATTAATTGATTTCTCAATAATTATTGTAAGCGTTGCAGGTATGAGCGTGACGCGGTTATGATCAACGCCGCGCCGTAAGGAACATAGGCTTTTATGGCCAATATTGTTAAAAAATAATTTAATTTATTTTTATTTTCTAAGTTTCTTAAAAAATCCCAATGTTTCCAAAAGTTCTAAATATTTTATTTAGAATGAAGTCTTTTCGCCTGTAAAAGTATAAGAGCAGTATTGGCCATAAAAGCCTCTCTCAACCAGGCGTCCAGGAGTAACTCTGTTCTCTCCGGTTCGAATGGCGTCCAGGTATTCTCTCCGAACTCTCCATTCCGAACGGGCGACCAGTAGTTTTCACCCGTACTCTCCTGTACTTTACCTGGGGCGTCCAGGAGATGCTCTGTCCTCTCTCAGTCGACAGGCGTCCAGGAATATTCGCCGAACTCTTCATGTCGACCGAGTGTCCAGGAACAAACTCCCGTACTCTCCCCCTATTCACCAGGCAGGCGTCCAGGAGTGTTTCGCCGAACTCTCCTGCTGGAGCTTCCTCTACTTCTACTCTCCGGGCAGGCGTCCAGGTATTATCGCCGAACTCTCCTGCCGGAGTTTCCTACTAGCTACTCTCCGAGCAGGCGTCCAGGTATTGGTCGCCGAACTCTCCTGCCGGAGCCCCTAACAGCTAAGTTCCTTCTCCAGCAGGCGACCAGGTATTTTCGCCG